ATATCGTGTAGGACCCCCACTATCCCAGCGAAGTGAAGCAACTCAACATGGCATCGATTCCACAAGTGGATGGAAGACGTCTGGAGAGGTGTTGGGCCATGCCGCCTGGATAGCCACCCACAGCTCCATGGTTTTTGTAGGTGTAAGATCTCAGGTCCAAATGGACCTCTCTAACACATCTATAAATGCTCCATTGGGCTCATGTCGGGCAAACATGCAGGCCACACCATTCGTCGAAACTCTCCAGAATGCTTCGGTGCATTATCTTGCTGGAATATTCCATTATTGTGGGGTACATGAAGTCCATGAAGGGCTGCGCATGGTCACCAAGCAGAGAAATGTAGTGGTCTCTGGTCAATTATGTGTTTAGGCAGACTAGTGGACCCAACCCATGCCATGAGAACACATCCCACACCAGACCAGTGGAATCAACACCAGCCTACACGGTGCCTTGTTGACAACTGGGGTCCATGGCTTCATGGGGTCTGCACCACACATGAACCCTATCATCAGCCTGAAACATTTGGTACTGTGACTCATTGGACCATGCCACATGTTGCCAGTCCTCTATGGCCCACTTAGCAACCTCACGAGCCCTGTTGAGGTGATGTGTCCAGGGTTGTGGTGTCAATAGAGGCCCTTCAGTGGGTCTTCTGCTCCCATATTCAATGGAAGTTAATGAACGCTGCACTGACCTGTGGCATATGTGTGTGGGGCCTCCTGCATTGAATATGGATGTGATTTCTGTGAGAGGCACTTGTCTGTTCGCACATCACAGCAAGTGATCATTAAGCACCCACAGGCGGTACATATGTGACACTGTGGATCAAGGAATATTAAATGCCCACATAACCACATAATGGGAAATTAAATGTCCCATCCATCTGGCACCCACTATCAAATGTTGAAAATGAGAAATTTTATTGTTTTTTGAAAAATGTGTGCCCATTTTGAATTTGATGCCAACAACACGTTCCAAAAAAGTTGGGATGGGGGCATGTTTACCATTGTGTTTCATCAACTCTTCTTTTAACAACACTGTAAGCATTTGGGAACTGAAGAGACACTGCTGAAGTTTAGAAAGTAAAATGTTTTCCTGTTCTTGTTTGATACAGGATTTCAGCTGCTCATTAGTTCAGGGTCTCCTTTGTCACATTTTTCATTTCATAATGTGCCAAATGTTTTCAGTGGTGACAGGCGTGAACTGCAGGCAGGTCAGTTTGGCACCCAGATTCTTTTAATACGGAGCAATGCTGCTGTAATACATGCAGAATGTGGTTTGACATTGTCTTGCTGGAATAATCAAGGCCTTCCCTGAAAAAGATGCAGTCTGGATGGCAGCATATGTTGCCAAAACATGTATATATCATTCAGCATAAATGGGGCCTTCACAGATGTGCACATCACCCATGCCAAGTGCACTAATGGACCTCCATACCATCATGAATACTGGCTTTTGAACTGTGCACCGATAACAAGCTGAGTGGTTTTTAGCCCGGAGGACACAGTGTCCATAATTTCCAAAAAGAATTTCAAATGTTGATTTGTCGGACCACAGGACACTTTTCCACCTCCCCTCAGTCCATTTTAAATGAGCTCAGGCCCAGAGAAGATGGCAGCATTTCTGGATCCTGTTTTTATATGTTTTTTCTTTGTGTTTTAGAGTATTGGATGTAGTGATGAACTGTGTTCACAGACAGTGATGAACTGTGTTTGCAGACAGTGTTTTTCAGAAGTGTTTCTGAGCCCATACAGTGATTTCCACTGCAGGATCACATCGGTTTTTAATGCAGTGACACTTGAGGGCCCAAAGATTTGGGCCAGCAAATACTGTTTTTTGGCCTTGTCCTTTGCATACAGAGATTTCTCTAGATTCTCTGAATATTTTAGATGATGAAAAGCAAAAGTTCTTTGCTATTTTATGTTGAGAAATGTTATTCTTGAATTGTTGCACAGTCTTTGACAGAGTGGTGAACCCCTCCTTATCTTTACTTCTGAAATGCTCAGCCTCTCTGGGATGCTTGTTTATACCCAATCATGTTACTGACCTGTTGCCAATTAACCACCAGGTGTTTTTTTTAGCATTACACAAATTTACCAGCCTTTTGTTGCCCCTGTCCCAACTTTTTTGGAACGTGCTGTTACCCATTAATTTAGAAGGGCAGATCTGAGGATTCATGGACATAGAGTATTATGGTAAACTGAGCATGTCAATGCTGTTGTCCTGCCACTCTCATACTACCATGCATCCCTCTGACACAAAGGTTTCCATGGACTCCATCTCCTAGAATCCTCTGAGAGATCACATGACTCCTGACCCTCCAGCACACTCCAGTCACAGATCTCTCTCCTGAATACTAATCTGTAACACCTGTTGACCTGAGCTTTTAGAATAGATCAGTGTGAGGTATTGCTTATTTCTTGAACTACTGAGCATTTATGTCCTGTACTGTTTTTGCCTGACTCTTTTGGATTGTTTTTGCCTGTTGTTTATGTTTATGTGTGTCTTTTACTTGCTGCCCTCACTGGATTTGACCTGTGTCTGTTTCCTGACAACGACTTTGGTTGACGATTCAAATAGTAAATAAATAGTGGTTCTGTCATGTTACACATGCACTCACACAGGTTTGCTGATGGTGGAGCAGAGGGGCACTGACATCTTAGGGTCCACTCATGTCTCTGTTACCTTCTGGCTCTTGTTTTTAGTTAGAATGTAATAGACCTTGACCTGGTGGAGTCACTGCTGTATGTATAGTATTCAGTCACACCAGAATGACCTATCTGTATTTTTCTTTGCCAAGCTAAACAACTGCCCATCCTGTGTGGTCTGATGCGGTCATTTACCTCCCTTCTGAACTAGCTCAACCAGCATGAAGCTTCCTGCTCTACAGTGCTGTACAGAAAGCCTCACCTGTTTGCCACTCATTCTCCTGATGATACTGGTGCATGCACAGACTCAAACTATTTAATCATAGACATTGCTTCAGCTGCTTTACAATAAGCTCTTCTTATATCCATAATAACAGATCATCATTACGTACTTTTAACAGTAGTCATTGATGTTTATGGATTTAACTTTTATTTTCACTACAGTACGCTCCTTACAGTACTCAGTGGTTTTCACTGGTAACAGTGGCTGATTTTCATAGATATAGATATTCTGATAGGCCTCTAATAGTAAGCACCAGATATCATTGGTTAATCTAAATACTTCTGTCCAATGACAGGGTGGTTTCTTTGTTGTCACTGTTTGCTAGCTGCTGACAACCAGAGGTGGATGAGTTGACCTTTTGGGTCTTGGTTCCTTTCTTCCTTTTGCTTTGAGGGAGTTTTTCTTGACCCTGTTACTTTTCGCAATGCTTACTGGGGCTTGTACCCAGATTTCTGTAAAGCTACTTTGTGTCAGTGCCTGCTATGAAAAAGGGCTATATGAATGAGATTTGACTCAAGATGACTTTCAGCTTGCTAAGAGCTGGTCCAAGGAGTCACTGGTGGATCCTGAATCCAGCTGATGCATTCCTTCATGTGGATATTCATGTTCAATTATATTTGTTTGAGGCCAAGTTGAAAAGAAAATGTGGTTCTCAAATTCAGAATCATGCACTATATTAATTTTCTTATTACACTTACTGAGCTTCTCTACCTACTTTTAAATGAAACTGTTGTTTTGTGGTGTGTCTGTGCTGTGAAGCCCCATCTTTCGTTGTCATACTTGGAAAGAATTAAGACCTGGATGTGGTCTAAATGTCTTAGGGATGTAATTGTGGATGTGATTTGTGAGACTATTTATTTCTAGTTTTAGTTTGTAAGGTCTCGTAGGTCCAGTTCAAAACAAAGGAAGCAACATTTGGACACTAAGCATGGCTTGGCTGATCAACTGCATTTGAGGTGAGTTGAAAATCATGAAGAAAAAAAAATCTATATACATGTACACATTTTATATACCCAAAACTCACGGGATAGCAGTAGCACAATGTTGTGTAAGCATTAAATATTCCTTGACCCACAATGTCACGTGTGTCTTAGAAATACGTCATAGATGGAATTATCAGCCACAGTGGACAGCTGTCCATGTGAACAGACAAGCGCCTCTGGCAGAAATCACATCCACATTCAGTGCAGGAGGCCCCACAAGCATAACTCACAGGTCAGTGCAGCTTCTTTAGCTTCCATGGGATATGAGAGCAGCAGACCCACTAATGTACCCCACAATGATGGGATTTTCCAGCAGGATAATCCACCATGCCATTGGGCCCAAGGTGTCCTAGAATTGGTTCGAGGAGCATTCTGGAGAGTTCAGACAAATGATGTGATGATGGCTCAACATCCCTCCAGATGTCTTCTGTCCACCTTTGGAATCAATGCCGTGTCAAGTTGCTGCACTTCGCCGGGATAGAGGAGGTCCTACCCCATACTAGTTCAGGTCCCATGACTTTTGGCATGTCAGAGTATAATATGAACATGCTGCTATTCTACATGGGTGTGGTGGGTTCTATAAGACAGTATTTTCTTAAATTATTTTCCAAACATTTGCTGTGCTTGCCTATATTTATTTTTGCTCTAATATGGGATGAGAAAAGGCATGAAAATGTAACAATTAACATCGAAAGTGTGATTTGCTCACACAGGTTACTCTCTATGTAATGCAAGAACATGAACTCACTCTTGCAGAGGTATTTTGCTACAATGGGCATTAAAATGTAACATTCAACATTCACGGTGTGATTTGCTAAGACAGGATACTCTGTATGTATTGCAATCCATAGATCTGGCAGTGAATTTTTATTAAATTCAAATTGATAAGTGGAGCGCAGGAGTGTCTGGGGAAGCTGCTGTGTAATTCAGTGTCCAGCTAATAAAATTCACTGAAATTTAATGGAGTGTAAATATAAAATTGTTTGATGTATCCACAGCGTCATGGCTGTACCCCTGAGGATAAGTGTACTCCAACTTGTGAACAGGAGCTCTACACTGTTCTACACTGTTGAAGCTGTCTTTACCTCAGCCCAGCCGAACTGTCCTCCACTCTGAACCTAAGTGGATGGTCCATTGACTCATCACTCTTCATGGACACACAGCTGGGTTCAGGTGAGTCTGGTCTCTTCCTCTGAATCAGACTAAAACATACCAATAGGGGAAAATCATGTTACAGTCATACATGCAGAGAACAAATTGTGGAATTTGAACATTTTTAAGGTAAAGCTTTATGAACACAGATAAGCTAAATGAACTTGTTCAGAAAAAAGAATTTGGAAAAATAGTGTGGACAGTCCTTAGTTACACGTTTCAGCTAAAATTGGAACTACATTATCATTTGCATAACATGCTGTTTTCCAGGACTATAGCATCTCCAAACTCTGTGAGACTGGAACTCAGGGGTGTGTTATACAGAGCCAATACGCAGCTACACAGCATTAGCACAGTAGTACCTAAGGCTTGCTTACTGTGAGAGAGATAGAAGTTGTGTATTGAACAGTGAATAACTTGTAAAAATCACTTGCTGCGTCCCATTTTGCAGAAACAGAATGAAGAAATCTGCGTCCAGTCTAGAACATTACCATCTATTTCCTACTGATGCAGACACATTCAAACTGTGGCTTTTGGCAACCAACCACAAACTAACGCCAGCGATGGTCAGTAAATGTGCAAAATCTCTGTGTATGTGGTGACCGTTTTTGACCGGACAATTACTGAAAGCGTCCAGGGTGGGCTATTTGAGAATCTAAAGCTGTACCAAGTACCTTTCAACAGATGAATCATCAAAGAGGTGTATCTGAGGTAAGCGCTGTTTACCTTTTCTCTTTCCTTGCTGTGCTCACGGTCATGTTACGTGTTGCTAAAGCCTATAGCGTAGGGGCCCCTGATCACCTTAATCTGCCACTGGCTATCCATAAATCTGACAGTGGATTTTTATTAAACTCAATAGTCAAAGACCCGCTCATAGATACGGAAATGAGGTTCTCCTGCTCAGGAGTTGGGGAGTGGAGCGCAGGGGAGTGGAGCGCAGGGGTGTCTGGGGAAGCTGCTGTGTAATCGAGTGTCCAGCTAATAAAATTCACTGAAATTAAATGGAGTGTAAATATGAAATTGTTTGATGTATCCACAACGTCACTGGCTGTACCCCTGAGGATAAGTGTACTCCAACTTGTGAACAGGAGCTCTACACTGTTCTACACTGTTGAAGCTATCTTTACCTCAGCCCAGCCGAACTGTCCTTTACTCTGAAGTTAAGTGGACGGTCCATTGACTCATCACTCTTCATGGACACACGGCTGGGTTCAGGTGAGTCTGGTCTCTTCCTCTGAATCAGACTAAAACATACCAATAGGGGAAAATCATGTTAGAGTCATAAATGCAGAGAACAAATTGTGGAGTTTGGATCTTTAGTTTTTTTTGGATAAAGTTTAATGAACATTGATAACCTAAATAAACATAAATAAAAAAGGGAATCTGTTAAAATGGCATGGACAGACCTAATTTGCACATTTAAGCTAAAACTGGAACTACTTTATCATCCACATAACATCCTGTCTTACGCTACTATAGTGCAGTGCTGCTTTGTACGTAGTGTTACCTCAGTAATACTTAACTTTTAAACTGGATATACAAGGTTAACCTACTGTCAGAGAGTTAGAACATGCACTAATCCAATAGCGATAATCCTCATAATCAGACACTGTACTGATTTCCTGAATAAACTCGCTGAGCTTCTCTACCCACGTTGCTCTGTGGTGCTTCTGTGCTGAGAAGCCCTGTCTTTGGTAATCTTGTGTGGAATTATACCAGACAGTGGTCAGGAAAGAAGTGATTCCAGTTATCCTGCACAGCTGCCCGTTCTTTTAGCTACTCAGAGACGTCTGATTCATTTTGTAGTTCATAGTGAGTCAAACCTAATTCTAAACACATCAACTTATCTGCATGACCTGAATTAAGACCTGCATGCAGGTTGAGAGATGTTTTGGAGATGTCTTTGTGAAAATGGTTTGAGAGAAGATTTATTTCTGGTGTTTGTTAGCAAAATTAACCTTGTATGTCCAGTTTAAAAGTAAAGAAGCAATATTTGGACACCACACATGTCTTGACTGATCACATCTGCATTTGGGGTGAGTGGAAAACCATGACGAAAAAAAAATGATTTTCTCCTTTAATTCTATATTCTTACTCTGTATAATATACTAGGAACATGCTGCTATTCTACATGTGTGTGGTGTGTGCACACAAGTCCATAATGTTGGGTTCTACTGGAGAGTTTTATCTTGAATCATTTCCCACACAGTTTCTGTATTTGCTTATATTCTATTTTGTTCCAATACGGAACATGAACTCACTCTTGCAGAGGTATTTTGCTGCAAAGGGCATTAAAATGTAATATTCAACATTCACGGTGTGATTTGCTAAGACAGGATACTCTGTATGTATTGCAATCCATAGATCTGGCAGTGAATTTTTATTAAATTCAAATTGATAAGTGGAGCACAGGGGTGTCTGGGGAAGCTGCTGTGTAATTGAGTGTCCAGCTAATAAAATTCACTGAAATTTAATGGAGTGTAAATATGAAATTGTCTGATGTATCCACAACGTCATTGGCTGTACCCCTGAGGATAAGGGTACTCCACCTTGTGAACAGGAGCTCTACACTGTTCTACACTGTTGAAGCTATCTTTACCTCAGCCCAGCCGAACTGGCCTTTACTCTGAAGTTAAGTGGATTCTGCATTGACTCATCACTCTTCATGGACACACAGCTGGGTTCAGGTGAGTCTGGTCTCTTCCTCTGAATCAGACTAAAACACACCAGTAGGGGAAAATCATGTTAGAGTCATAAATGCAGAGGACAAATTGTGGAATTTGAACATTTTTAAGGTAAAGCTTTATGAACACAGATAAGCTAAATGAACTTGTTCAGAAAAAAGAATTTGGAAAAATAGTGTGGACAGTCCTTAGTTACACGTTTCAGCTAAAATTGGAACTACATTATCATTTGCATAACATGCTGTTTTCCAGGACTATAGCATCTCCAAACTCTGTGAGACTGGAACTCAGGGGTGTGTTATACAGAGCCAATACGCAGCTACACAGCATTAGCACAGTAGTACCTAAGGCTTGCTTACTGTGAGAGAGATAGAAGTTGTGTATTGAACAGTGAATAACTTGTAAAAATCACTTGCTGCGTCCCATTTTGCAGAAACAGAATGAAGAAATCTGCGTCCAGTCTAGAACATTACCATCGATTTCCTACTGATGCAGACACATTCAAACTGTGGCTTTTGGCAACCAACCACAAACTAACGCCAGCGATGGTCAGTAAATGTGCAAAATCTCTGTGTATGTGGTGACCGTTTTTGACCGGACAATTACTGAAAGCGTCCAGGGTGGGCTATTTGAGAATCTAAAGCTGTACCAAGTACCTTTCAACAGATGAATCATCAAAGAGGTGTATCTGAGGTAAGCGCTGTTTACCTTTTCTCTTTCCTTGCTGTGCTCACGGTCATGTTACGTGTTGCTAAAGCCTATAGCGTAGGGGCCCCTGATCACCTTAATCTGCCACTGGCTATCCATAAATCTGACAGTGGATTTTTATTAAACTCAATAGTCAAAGACCCGCTCATAGATACGGAAATGAGGTTCTCCTGCTCAGGAGTTGGGGAGTGGAGCGTTGGGGAGTGGAGCGCAGGGGTGTCTGGGGAAGCTGCTGTGTAATTCAGTGTCCAGCTAATAAAATTCACTGAAATTAAATGGAGTGTAAATATGAAATTGTTTGATGTATCCACAACGTCATGGCTGTACCCCTGAGGATAAGTGTACTCCAACTTGTGAACAGGAGCTCTACACTGTTCTACACTGTTGAAGCTATCTTTACCTCAGCCCAGCAGAACTGTCCTCTGCTCTGAACATAGTTGGACATTCCATTGACTGGTCACTCTTCATGGACACACAGCTGGGTTCACGTGAGTCTGGTCTCTTCCTCTGAATCAGACTAAAACACACCAATAGGGGACAATCAAGTTAGAGTCATAAATGCAGAGAACAAATTGTGGAATTTGGATCTTTAGTTTTTTTGGGTAAAGTTTAATGAACATTGATAACCTAAATAAACATAAATAAAAAGGGAATCTGTTAAAATGGCATGGACAGACCTAATTTGCACATTTAAGATAAAACTGGAGCTACTTTATCATCCACATAACATCCTGCTTTATGCTACTATAGTGCAGGGCTGCTTTGTATGTAGTGTTACCTCAGTAATACTTAAGGCTTACTTACTGTAAGAGAGTTAGAACATGCACTAATCCAATAGTGATAATCCTCATAATCAGACACTGTACTGATTTCCTGAGTAAACTTGCTGAGCTTCTCTACCCACGTTGCTCTGTGGTGCTTCTGTGCTGTGAAGCCCTGTCTTTGGTCATCTTGTGTGGAATTATACCAAACCGTGGTCAGGAAAGAAGTGATTCCAGTTACCCTGCACAGCTGCCTGTTCTTTTAGCTACTCAGAGAAGTCTGATTCATTTTATAGTTCATAGTGAGTCAAACCTAATTCTAAACACATCACTTTATCTGCAAGACCTGAATTAAGACCTGCATGCAGGTTGAGAGATGTTTTGGAGATGTCTTTGTGAAAATGGTTTGAGAGATGATTTATTTCTGGTGTTTGTTAGCAAAATTAACCTTGTATATCCAGGTTAAAAGGAAAGGAGCAATATTTGGACACCACACATGTCTTGACTGATCACATCTGCATTTGGGGTGAGTGGAAAACCATGACGAAAAAAATGAGATTTTCTCCTTTAATTCTATATTCTTACTCTGTATAATATACTAGGAACATGCTGCTATTCTACATGTGTGTGGTGTGTGCACACAAGTCCATAATGTTGGGTTCTACTGGAGAGTTTTATCTTGAATCATTTCCCACACAGTTTCTGTATTTGCTTATATTCTATTTTGTTCCAATACGGAACATGAACTCACTCTTGCAGAGGTATTTTGCTGCAAAGGGCATTAAAATGTAACATTCAACATTCACGGTGTGATTTGCTAAGACAGGATACTCTGTATGTATTGCAATCCATAGATCTGGCATTGGATTTTTATTCAATTCAAATTGATAAGTGGAGCGCAGGAGTGTCTGGGGAAGCTGCTGTGTAATTGAGCGTCCAGCTAATAAAACTCGCTGAAATTAAATGGAGTGTAAATATAAAATTGTTTGATGTATCCACAGCGTCATGGCTGTACCCCTGAGGATAAGGGTACTCCAACTTGTGAACAGGAGCTCTACACTGTTCTACACTGTTGAAGCTGTCTTTACCTCAGCCCAGCAGAACTGTCCTCTGCTCTGAACATAATTGGATGGTCCATTGACTTGTCACTCTTCATGGACACACAGCTGGGTTCAGGTGAGTCTGGTCTCTTCCTCTGAATCAGACTAAAACACACCAGTAGGGGAAAATCATGTTAGAGTCATAAATGCAGAGGACAAATTGTGGAATTTGAACATTTTTAAGGTAAAGCTTTATGAACACAGATAAGCTAAATGAACTTGTTTAGAAAAAAGAATTTGGAAAAATAGTGTGGACAGTCCTTAGTTACACGTTTCAGCTAAAATTGGAACTACATTATCATTTGCATAACATGCTGTTTTCCGGTACTACAGCATCTCCAAACTCTGTGAGACTGGAACTCAGGGGTGTGTTGTACAGAGCCAATACGCAGCTACCCAGCATTAGCACAGTAGTACCTAAGGCTTGTTTACTGTAAGAGAGATAGAAGTTGTGTATTGAACAGTGAATAACTTGTAAAAATCACTTGCTGCATCCCATTTTGCAGAAACAGAATGAAGAAATCTGCGTCCAGTCTAGAACATTACCATCGATTTCTTAATCTGCCACTGGCTATCCATAAATCTGACAGTAGGTTTTTATTAAACTCAATAGTCAAAGACCCGCTCATAGATACGGAAATGAGGTTCTCCTGCTCAGGAGTTGGGGAGTGGAGCGCAGGGGAGTGGAGCGCAGGGGTGTCTGGGGAAGCTGCTGTGTAATTGAGCGTCCAGCTAATAAAACTCACTGAAATTAAATGGAGTGTAAGTATAAAATTGTTTGATGTATCCACAACGTCATGGCTGTACCCCTGAGGATAAGGGTACTCCACCTTGTGAACAGGAGCTCTACACTGTTCTACACTGTTAAAGCTATCTTTACCTCAGCCCAGCAGAACTGTCCTTTACTCTGAAGTTAAGTGGATCCTGCATTGACTTGTCACTCTTCATGGACACACAGCTGGGTTCAGGTGGGTCTGGTCTCTTCCTCTGAATCAGACTAAAACATACCAATAGGGGAAAATCAAGTTAGAGTCATACATGCAGAGAACAAACTGTGGAATTTGGATCTTTAGTTTTTTTGGGTAAAGTTTAATGAACATTGATAACCTAAATAAACATAAATAAAAAGGGAATCTGTTAAATTGGCATGGACAGACCTAATTTGCACATTTAAGATAAAACTGGAGCTACTTTATCATCCACATAACATCCTGCTTTATGCTACTATAGTGCAGGGCTGCTTTGTATGTAGTGTTACCTCAGTAATACTTAAGGCTTACTTACTGTAAGAGAGTTAGAACATGCACTAATCCAATAATGATAATGATAATCCTTATAATCGATGAGCGGAAAATCACATAAATTAGATTGTATTCCAAACTATTCTTCTCATTCTGTATATTTGTAATGTATAATACAATATGTAAATGCCTTTATTCTGCTTCATTAGAGAGAATAAAAAACTATATGCAGTAAAGAATCTTTCTGTGCTTTCCTTGCTTATTTTGTAAGCTCTCAAAAATTTCAACTCCCACTCATTTCATTCTTCAGTGACACATCATCCTTACTTACAGTACAACCATTATCATCTCTGAAGGCTAAATTGTAGTGTTGGCGTTGAAGAACAGCCAGAAGAAGCCATTGTTTCTGCTCAAGGAAAATGCTCTTTTTTTAAACAAAGCAAAAAAAGGCCACTGAATAATAGCTAGAAAAGCTTCTAGCCATACAACTTCACTGTACAATGTAATACTAAACTCATGCTTAATAACCCACGGCTTAACACAGTAAAACACAGCCAAGGCATACACACATCTTAAACTAACAAACAACAACATCAACGACAACAAATATGACAGTAACAAATGCTCTTCCAGCAAAGGGACGGAGGCATCATGCATGGTTTTAAAAGGGGGAGAGGTGGCTGGGGTGGCCAGTGTCCTCCTAAAATTTGACTGGCCATCCTAGATTCCACTCCAAAATTTCTTTCAGAACATTGGCTTCCACTTCACTGTGGGGAGGGTGTTTGTGCCTTTAACTGCATTATTGTGCTGGCAGTGGAACAAATCTCCAGCAACTAACAACTCCTCGCCCAACACCCCCTCCCAATTTCCCATGTTAACACTGCCAGTACATCTGGTCTATCCCGCTTTTGCCATTAAGAGTACAGTTGAGTGGCTATCAGCAGAGCAACTCTCCAACCAGTGGTATTTCCTGGCCTGGGCTTCCAGGGCCATAGCCCAAAATATTTTTAACCAGCCTGAACCTTGTAACGTTAACACTTCACACATTTCAGCCTAGCTCATTTGTACATCATTCTCGTCATTCAGGGGCACATTCACTGACTTTTCAAATGCAGAGAGAGAGAGAGAGAGACAGAATGTGCAGAAAGAGCAACAATAAGATACTGCATATGCACGAGAGAGAGAGAGAGCAAGCGAGAAAATACAAGAGTGCCTAAAATTTTTGTTAAATAAAGCAAATCTATGCCTCTGTAAAACATTAGTCATTTTATCTTAGAAATGTGAGTAAACTGTCTGTTTGAAAATACACTCAACATGTAACAGTTAGTTAACAGAATGAAGTGTGTTACATTCTGATCTCATTATGTAAAGTACAATAAAAGACTATTTTTGGCAGCCAGATTAATGGCTTTAAGTTAAAACTCTAAATGAGTTTTTAGAGTCTACATAAAAATATACTAATTTGAAAACCAGCCACTGAACTTAATGATGTATGTGAACATTGTTACCCAATATTTTATTGGTTTGTCTGACTGGAGACATCTAACAATGTTTATCAGGGCACTGAATGACCCAGATTGAATGCTTTATTTTAGCCTAATCTTTTACATTTAAAAATTAGTGTTCCTTGTTTGTTTTTTGGCAAGAAGAGTTTTAATGAATGACTATTTAATATTTTACATATATAAAGACTGTAGATAAAATGTTTCTCTGTTAGCAGGACATTGAAGAGGAGACGTGTGAAATGTGCAGAGGACTTTAATAATGGCATTAATCAAGGAACAGCCCTGACACTTTTTCATTTTCTGTTATAGTTATTTCTTCTTTTGTTTGATTTTTTAATCAATTTTGTTCATAATATACAATAAACTGCTCAATCACTGCACGTTTTGTTGATGTGTAAATCCACATATTAAATAAAAAAGTAGCAACTAAACATTTTATATGTTCCCAAAGCAACTCTGCAATGAACTGCACTGAGCCCGGACCCTTACATGCCCAGCCAACGTCCCTCTCTCCAACCTCTCTTAACCCCCACCTCCCACCTCGGTGTCACGTTAACATTACATGTGTAGTATGTCTATTGGTGGAACAACTCATAAACCTCTATCCACCCCCCTATTTCGCCAGAGTTCCCGATTCCCAAGGACATTTTGTCAGAACAGCTGGAATCGCTGCAGAGGCGCTGAAGAGGGTAAGAGAGACCGTCTGTAAAGAGCAGTTACTCTTCAAAAACGGAAAACATTCACAGAGATGAGGTTGATGTTATTTTAAAGGCTTGAGACCTACTGAGATGCAGAGATGATGTGAAATAACAATAACTAACATGAACAAGTTAATATTTTTAGCAGTTCAGGCAGTCTAAATATGCATTTAGTGCTCCTGCATATTGTCTTGTCACAACCCTACAGCACATTCTAGATTTGAAAAGACTTGGTGAACATGACTTGGTGAAATTGAATCATGCTTTATTAATCTGTTATTAAAAATACTGCTATTTTGATGAAATTGTGTGGGAAAAAAAACACAAGATATACAGTGGAAAGAAAATCAACCATAACATAATATAACTGGTAACACTTCCTTTGAAGGGTGTCTACATGACACATTCATATCACCTTACATAAACACTTCATAACATGTTCATGAATGCTTAAATCAACATTCATAAACTATACATGTTTTACATGATATTAATATGGACTACTATGTCATTTTACCGAAAGATGTTTTTCAAAATAAAAGTCCTCATTTTATTTATTATTTTCAGTGAAACTCCTCGTTTCTGGACTGTCAGCATAAAATGACCTGGCTTTATCCCTTTGGACAGAAAGTGTTTTCACACTTTTTGCCTAGACTTCCAACTCTCAAGCATTTGTATTTTGCAATATGCTATTCTTTCTGCTTTTTACACTAATTATTCATACATAAAATGTACTGTTCATTCCACACTCTATACATAATTGTGGAAAATGTTACTTAAACTAAGTTTAACTTTTTTGGGGTAAATGCTAACATTGTTATCCCAATTACTGTGGAGGTTTTATTTTTAGTGATGTTCTTCCTCACTTATGGTTTTGGAGAAGGCACAAGTATAACTGTGCATTGATTATCCTGTGTAACTGAGGTTAAATGTGACAAGCACTGTTATCACAAGGAATGATTCCTTTTTTGGCATTACTTCAAAGTACAATCGAGTGGTGGCTCTTTGACTTTCCTCACTCAGGGTTCTGATGATTTTGTAAGAAATGTCCTTTATAAATTTACCCTGCTTTGCCTTCACCATAAAAGTGATGGAAGCCACGTTATCCTCAGTAAAGTTCATGTTACATGAATGGATGGATCTTGAATGGAATGGATAAGTATTATGGGCCTGTCCCACCACCACACACAGTTTGAGACTTTAAGTTGATTGACTGTTCATAGCATATTTATGAGTAATTCACTGTCCATATAGTAAAGTGACATGTAAGACACCATTCATAAGTGATTCATAGCATTTTAAGGAGCTGTTAATATACCTTATAGTAAAGTGACATTCAAAGCAGCATTCATAAGTGATTCACAGCATTTTAAGAGATGTTAATATACCATATAGTAAAGTGACATGCAAAGCAACATTCATAAGTGATTCATAGCATTTTTAAGAGATGTTTACAGACCATGTGTATAAATAGTGATAGGGATTTACAATTAAATATCTACAATTATTTTCCCTACCTTTGCAGCAAGACCCAATGACTGTGAAAAGGAGTCAATAAACACCACAAGTAGGAAGGTCCTTTAACAAGACCACTGTTCAGAACAGGCACTTAAACATGCTGCTCAAAATCAAATCAGGAAACTACAAACTCTTCTGAACATGGAACTGCAAAATAGGCAAAAATAAAATAATCCTCCTTTACAGTAAAATAAAGCTCTGCTGATCGTTCAACACAGTTTAACAATAAACGGTCTTAAACACTGGAGTTAATATAGCCTATATCTGCTAATTCACCCTTTAACCCTGCAGGTGTGCAGACTTCTGGTCACAGCAGGACAGTCAACAGTCTTGCCCAGCTAGTTAGTAAGTTAGCTAACAAAAAAGCGAAGGGAAAAAGTTAAGACAAACGTCGGTAATTTGGATACGAATGCACTTATATGAATTCATTATCACTCCAGTTGGTTTCCCGATATCTGTAACGATAATCTGTAACGAGAAACTATCAAATACTAAAAAGTCGCGAGGCTGAAATCAGCTTCTCGTTCGCCAGCTTGTTTTTCGAATTTACCCGTTCCACCTTAAATGCTGCAGCAGTTACATTCTGGCACCTCAGGCGCCATTTAAGGTGGAACGGGTAAATTTCAGCCTTGTAAAAAACGAACTTTGAGAGACATTTTACAAGAATTACTTTACTTTTTTACAAGATTATTTTACTTTTTGGCAAAGTTTCGTGGTGGAGATGCGAGACACGGCTATAGCTGAGCTAAAGGTTAAAGCAGAGCAAAGTAAGTCTTTCGTTTATATACTTTTAGCCTATACTACCACACTAGCACATACTGAGACACATTACAGCCAGGATAGTAAAATGATTTTTGTTGACACTTCGCCGACGTTAGCGAGTGTTTTAAGTGGACCTTGCATTTGGGACTAGCTTGTTTAACGTATCACTCCGCATCCCTGCTGTGCATCATAAGTAATGCTCATTTAGGCCCACTAACTACTTCAGCTCGACTGGCACGGTTACAGAACAGTGCACAAGTTAAATCAGTATCAGTTATTTAAGTTCGAAAAAAAAGAATGTTGTTAAGAAGAGCTGCATAAGGTCTGTTAATCTTTGGGCCTTAACTGAATCATGTAACTTAGCTAATTAGGTGACGTTAACATTAGCCTGATGCATTTTAATAGCTAATGTAAGGTAGCGTTAGCCTGCTAGCTAGTTAGCAAAGTTTCTTGGCTACAGTCACTGATCATAAGCAAAGTAGCTAATTTGACTGCTATACTGCTAACAGTTAGTTATATATCATACCTCTGCTGTGACAGTCTATCTAGCCCACTAACATAACGTTCATGCGCTTACAGTATAAATAGGCTGATCCTGTACGTGTAGAGTTCCACTCATCTGACTGCTCCTGTTTGATCTTTTTATAGCCAGAAGAGGACAGACAACCAGCAGCAGTGCCAGTATCATGATATCTTCAGACTCTTACAGTGACTTGTGCCATTTTGTTTATTTTCTTCATATTTTTGTTTTGTTTTTCAGAGAATTTAAAATAATTTCAGTCTAAGAAGAAAAGGAGCTAAGTGAAGGCATTACCCCTTAAGTAATGGCCACGTGAGGTGGTGTGTTTTTATTTTCGTTTTAGAAAAGAGTTGAAGATTTTATTGAACACATCTGTATTTTGCAGTTCCATGTTCAGAAGAGTTTGTAGGTTCCTGATTTGGGTTTGAGCAGCATGTTTAAGTGCCTGTTGGTCTTGCCAATAAAAAAGGACCTTCCTACTTGTGGTGCTTATTGACTCATTTTCACAGTCATTATGTCTTGCTGCAAAGGTAAGGAAAATAATTGTAGATATTTAATTGTAAATCACTATCACTATTTATACACATGGTCTGTAAACATCTCTTAAAAATGCTATGAATCACTTATGAATGTTGCTTTGCATGTCACTTTACTATATGGTATATTAACAGCTCCTTAAAATGTTATGAATCACTTATGAATGCTGCTTTGCATGTCACTTTACTATATGGTATATTAACAGCTCCTTAAAATGCTATGAATCACTTATGAATGCTGCTTTGAATGTCACTTTACTATAAGGTATATTAACAGCTCCTTAAAATGCTATGAATCACTTATGAATGTTGTCTTGCATGTCACTTTACTATAAAGTATATTAATAGCTCCTTAAAATGCTATGAATCACTTATGAATGGTGTCTTGCATGTCACTTTACTATATGGACAGTGAATTACTCATAAATATGCTATGAACAGTCAATCAACTTAAAGTCTCAAACTGTGTGTGGTGGTGGGACAGGTCCATAATACTTATCCATTCCATTCAAGATCCATCCATTCATGTAACATGAACTTTACTGAGGATAACGTGACTTCCATCACTTTTATGGTGAAGGCAAAGCAAGGCAAAATTATCAGCTCCCTGAGTGAGGAAAGTCAAAGAGCCACCACTCGATTGTACTTTGAAGTAATGCCAAAAAAGGAATCATTCCTTGTGATAACAGTGCTTGTCACATTTAACCTCAGTTACACAGGATAATCAATGCACAGTTATACTTGTGCCTTCTCCAAAACCGTAAGTGAGGAAGAACATCACTAAAACTAAAACCTCCAAAGTAATTGGGATAACAATGTTAGCATTTACCCCAAGAAAGTTAAACTTAGTTTAAGTAACATTTTCCACAATTATGTATAGAGTGTTGAATGAACAGTACATTTTATGTATGAATAATTAGTGTAAAAAGCAGAAAGAATAGCATATTGCAAAATACAAATGCTTGAGAAAAAAAAAAAAGTTGAAAGTCTAGGCAAAAAGTGTGAAAACACTTTCCATCCAAAGGGATAAAACCAGGTCATTTTATGCTGACAGTCCAGAAACGAGGAGTTTCACTGAAAATAATAAATAAAATGAGGACTTTTATTTTGAAAAACATCTTTCGGTAAAATGACATAGTAGTCCATATTAATATCATGTAAAACATGTATAGTTGATTTAAGCATTCATGAACATGTTATGAAGTGTTTATGTAAGGTGATATGAATGTGTCATGTAGACACCCTTCAAAGAAAGTGTTACCACTGATGGTCTCAAATACATTAAGCAGACAAACAATTTCGTAAATTAACTCTTGACACGACACAGCTGTTAACTAAATTAATTAACAGCTGTTCATTGAAACCGTTCCAGGTGACGACTGATTGTGTTCAGGTGACTAACTCATGAAGCTGACTGAGAGAATGCCAAGTGTGTGCAAAACTGTCATTAAAGCAAGAGGTGGCTACTTTGAAGAATCTAAAGTATAAAACATATTCTGGTTTGTTTAACACTTTTTGGTTTACTACATAATTCCATATGTGATTCCATATATTAATCTACAACATAGAAAAACATTGAATGAGAATTGTCCAAACTTTTGACTGGTACTCTATATGGTTGAGTTTTAGTGTTTTTTTCTAAAAATAAATTGCAACTGTAACACATCTATATGACATCTGATCTAAAATCACTTGTTGTGTACAGAGACATCTGACGAACACACCACAACCTTTAGTTTGATACGATTTACCTTGGCTGAATGTTAGTTTTCTTAAATTATTAATTAAATTGCTACAGTGACACAATATCTAGTTTAAAAAAATGAATTGTGTTGTATTTTGAGGATATTTCTTAGATATGTAATAAATATTACAATATGAACGTTAGCCCTACGTGTGGTGGAACTAAAGCTGGCAGGGTGTTTTTGTGCACGTCTGTGACTCTCCAGACATGCTGGCAGTTGAGATGTCAATGCATCACCGATTGCAGTTGTGGACGTCACCACAGCTCTGTTGACAGCTGTTCCTTTCCGGGACTGCTTCAATGCTGACTCCCTGTGTTGCTCTGTTGGTCTGATTAATTTACATAAAGTACTGTGCAAACGTTTTAGCCACCTTAGCAAATTATATTTAGAAAGTTATTTAATTGCACTCAAAGCATTTATTTGCTCAAAACAAAACATTAGAATAATATAAATAATATGAATACAATACATAGTGAATATATGTATGCCAGTGTGTTCTCTTATCAATTTCCAAACCTCTCCTTGTGGAAGCCCAGTGTTACTTGTAGTTTGCATCCAACACTGGATTTGGCTAATCAGTCCCTGATTAAGCTAAACAGGAGTGCTGGTTGGTAGTTTTAAACGACTCCATTTTACTGTATTAATATATTTATTTTAATATTATATGGTCATGGTTACAACCTAGATAAAATCTTTTAAACCACTTGCTTAATTGTCTAAGGCTTTTCCACAGTGTTATATACTTATGTGTAGGTCTTTTGAATTGTGATGTCTTGCATGACATCTCATTTTTGACCCTGTTTCTGTTAACCTGTGTACTGAGTCTGGGCTCTGATGACCATATGTGTTGGACTAGGCCTAATAAAGCTGATCAGTGCATGTATCCAGCCTAATAAAGCTGCCACACTGCCCCATTTGATGCACAGACAAATATTACAAACCTACAACAACTTCTGGTTAAAAAAAATGTTAAATTGTTAAAATTAAATGATTTTCATTATAATAAATAATAAATTGGTATGGTGACAAACCCATTTGACATACAGATCTAAAATGTTGTGTATAGAGATATACTCATAAAATTATAGTTTTATAATTTGAAAAAAAATGTAACTTAGTAAACAATACGTGATTTTAGACATGTATGCCATACGGATGTCACAGTTGAAATTTGTTTACAGAAAAGTCACTACAAATTGAACCAAGGCATATCTTATCAAACTAAAGGTTGTAGTATGTTTGTCAGAAGGCTCTGTACACTGCAAGTGATTTTAGCTCTGTACATCATACATCATATGGATATCTCACAATAGCACCTTTATTATTATTATTATTTTTTTTTTTTACGTTTGTGTGCTGTGTCTCAGTAAAGTTATATTAGGTTATGGTTGAGTTTCTTTCCACTGTATATCTTGTGTTATTTTTTCCACACAATTTCGTCAAAGTAGCAGTAATTTTTAATAACAGATTAATAAAGCATGATACAGTTCCACCAAGCTATGTAGGTAACATTTTTTAAAACTAGAATGTGCTGTAAGGTTGTAAGACGACAGTCTGCAAGAGAACTGCTAAAAATATGAACTTGTTCATGTTCGTTATTGTTATTTCACATCATGTGTAGGTTTCAAGTCTTTACAATAACACCAACCTCTGTGAATGTTTTCCGTTTTTGAACAGGAACAGCTCTTTACAGACGGTGCCTCTTACCCTCTTCAGCTCCGCTGCAGCGATTCCAGCTGTTCTGACCAAATGTACTCGGCGAAATTGAAAGATCGGGAAAATTGATGACTGCAGTTTATACGACTTTATACGACTTCGAAAATGTAATTTCGGAGATTTTAGAAGGTTGTTTGAGAGCGATAGGAGGGGACAAACCCGAATATCCCCTGAATAATAAGTATCAAGCGAAGTACGGAGCTACAACCATGCTGGTATAGATCACAACATGCGCACTTTACACCAAATCACATTATTCTCTCACCTCTCAGCTTTCTGTGGGTCCTGCTCCACAGAGAAACTCATTTTGGAGGTCATCTCTCCTCCTTCAGATTACACCCAACCCTGGAATTAGTAAAGTCTACATGTTAACTAATCTAAAAGCTGCTATCATAACTATTACAGTCAGAAAGTAAAGTCTAGATGTTAAACTTCAGTAATTACCTCAGTTCTTTCTCTTCAAACGTTCTGCATGATGTTCGCTTCACAAACAAGACCCTGCTGAAGATTTCCCTTTCACTTCAAACCAGTTTGGACTGGATTAGCTCCCTATGGTAAGAAATGATGAAGGGTTTTTTTTCCAGGGTGGGACCGTACAAAGCCAGTCTGTCCTCTGAAAAGGAAACGCAGCTTGTAAGTCTGAGATTGTATACATATTCGCTTCTGAGACCCCGCCTCTCTAAAAATGCTCTTTTGCTCACGTGGGTTAGTTACAAATTTCTCCTCCAGCTGTTTTTTATTAGTACCACTTACTTGTCCAGCCTTTTGTTGCCCCTGTCCAACTTTTTTCAGACGCGTTGCTGCCAACAAGCTCTAAATGAGTTAGTGTTTTTCATGAAATGGTAAAATGTCTCATTTTCAACATCTGATGTGTGTTCTTTGTTCTATTGTGAGTAAAATATGGGTCTATGAGATTTACAAATCATTGCATTCTGTCTTTATTTACCTTTATTTACATTTTACACAGCGTCCCAACTTTTTGGAATCGGGGTTGTAAATTACTAAACTAATCAGGAACAGACTGATACCAATAAAGTCTATTACTGCGTTCAGACAATAGACGATAATCGTCTCTATGTTTTATTATTATGGTGGAGATTGTGAGAGTAACAGAACACTTGCTTCCCCGCAAAATTGGCACGAACTTTAGAAAATGAAGTGGGTTTGAAAACAGCCTGATGTTCAGCAGAGATGGCAGAGGCGGCAGAGTCAAAACAAGCACTGACATTGTTCATGTCCGTTTATAGAGACGTGTTTTAAGCACAGTAAAGGTAGTTTAGTCAGTGGACTAATTGCATTAATGTCACTCAGCCGTTTTTTGAAACAATAAGCTGTGCCTCACCGTTTTTGGAGCAGTGACCCCACCCCTGATGAGAACACATTTCTTTCAAAAACACATACAGTATTACAGCAACACGTGAAACAAGAGACGTTATTTACTTTTTTCTGCATTCATATTCAAACAGGGCTCCTGCGCTAAGGCTGGATGGTGCTCTGATTGGTGGACTGTTGAGCATAAACTCCTCACCAATCCTAGCACAGGAAACGTGATCTTACTAGCCAATCAAAGCGCGTAAGGCGGAATACGGGTGGGAAAACTATAATACAGTATCTACCCAAATCGGCTCATCAGAGAGCGAGAAAAATCGACTTTTCTCAACAAACAGATCGTCAAAGTGACTCTTGTGATCGTCTAAGGCGACGATGGGGGTGTCTACAGTAGTCTGTGCTGTTTTACTGTGTGGAGGGTTTGTTTCTACTTTCGGAGGTGAGTCGTCCTTTTCTGTGTTTCTGCGCCTTGAGCGAAAAAGAACGGTAAAAAGTGATTTCCAGCAATAATCTCACGAGGCTGAAGTACTGCTGTGTTCGGGGCTCATCGGAAGGCTGTATATCCCAGATAGTTAGCTAGTAATCACGACTGAACTCTGTTCTGGTGCTCGTTAATGACACCACCCGGAGAAATAGAACATGGTGGTCCGGAGAACACAGCCCTTCTCTTTTCTGTGTTATAAAACACACGGATCTAATAGAAGCGCATCAGGGTTTTTTTTCAAATTCACTGCAAGTTTAGCATTTTTCACTCATGTAAGAGGTGAAGGTCGCGTCAGATTTCGTAAACTCGTGTATTATCTAGAACCCTGAGTTTACACGTTCTAAATACGACTTTGTCGGTCGAGGGTTTCGCTCCTCAGACAACCTCCTAGAACCTCCGAAATGACATGTTCTAAGTCGTGGTGAAACAGATTAACCTGCAGTCATCGATTGTCGTCACAGTTCCTGATCTTTCCATTTCGCCGAGTACATTTGGTCAGAACAGCTGGAATCGCTGCAGCGGTCTCGGATTTCTTTCTTCAATAGCTTTGGAACGGGGCGTGTAAGATGGTTAAAACACGCAAATTATCGATGTTGACATCCAAGATAAGCGGCTACAACTCCGTTTAGGTGGGAAAGGTTTGCCTTTTGAAAATCACCAGAACACGTTGATTTCTATGCGCTGCCGCGAGCTCCACTAGAGCTAAGGGATACAATTACATTAAACAATAAAAAAAGGACGTGAAGACCGGCGGGCAAAGCACTTCAGACATTATTATAAGAAAATTCAGCCTTATGAGCTTCAGTACTCTTTTTTTCAGAAGATGACAAATGATGAGAAGTAAAAGGTTTAAGAAAAGACTTGTATTTGTATTTATGGCTCAACAACAACAAAAACAAAACACTCAAATATATGGCATCAGTTGTAATTACAGTGGTTGGATTCAACGGACTGAATTATTTGAAAGTCTTTAGGTTTTTCCATATTACACACAAAAAAGAATTCTGAATACGTGCTATACAGTTAGGTATCAAAGGCAACCCACATGACAGACCACACCTTTCATATCAATAACATTAACCTCTGCAGGCCTGCGGCCACAGGTTTTTATGAAATAATTTCAATAACTTTTGAACATTTGATGATATCACTCCAAAACAAGTTGTATTTGCTCAAGTGCAACCCACATGACATAATACACTTCTTATATAGTTAAGTTAAACCTCTGCTGAAGTTTGGTGATAGGTTTTCATTAATTAATTTCAATAGCTTTTGAACATTTGACAATATCACTCCAAGACAAGTTGTATGTGATCAACTGCAACCCACATGACATGCTACACCTCTTATATCAGTACTTTTAACCTCTGCTGAATTTGCCTGTTTTTGTTCATATTGAAATGATAGCTAGCTGTCACATTAATAGTAAATAATGAATAGATGGACTTTTTAATGTAAAAGAAATTAAATAAAATAGAACACAAATAGAAAAAAATAACTGGTAATGGTTAAAGGAATGGTTAATATATGTTTTATTTTTATTGGAGAGGCAGTTATGACACCTTTATACCTTAGGAACAGGAAGCAGTCCATTCAGAAACACCCTTCCAAGAACACAATGTGAAGCCCCACAAAAAGTGTGCCTAGTGTTCTCTGGCCTTCAGAAAAATGTAGTTTTAACTCCTGCCAAAGCAACTCCTCTCCCCTCAATTATGGGCAGTACTTCAAAATGTGGCACAATAGGCATGGAAGAGATTAATTAATAATTTAATTTTAGTGAGAGTCCTGCTGCCCATCAGCTCCCTGGACTCTGCCTTACGTTAACAGGTGTGAAACTCTACAGACAGTAAACACATTCACAGCCTTCACACTGTATATTCTCACTGATACCTGTTCTACCATTAAAATCAGCAGCTTTGATTTTTACTGCAATATATGTCACTAATCATGCTGATCACTTCATACAGAACCAGACATTATTAGTGCATTTCACAGTTAAACAGCTACACAGCCTATCACAGTGCACTTTCTCAGGTTACGCTATTCTATTTTTATTTATTTTATTTTGTGTTGTATGAATAAAGGTCCAAGTGCATTTTGAAGGAAACATGACTGTTCAGCAGTGAGTATGCATAATAAAAGTAAGTCTTGTGTTGAGTGAACTTGCATTTCAGAATTTCTTTAAATACAAGTTGATAAACAAATATTAGTGCCTGATAATGTTTGACTCATGTACGTGTTGTTCAGAGTATATATTTAGTTATTACCCAGTTGGGAGGGAGGGCTGTGTCCATTTATTTGAAAGGGCAACATTTGGCTCCACAGCAGCATAGCTTGACATATAATGAGAACAGTTTTGTTTTGTTCACAATATCTCAAAATTTGGAGGCAGATACCATGAAATTTAGCAAACATGTTCAAAATTTCTAGACTTTGAACCCTGTCAATTTAGATTCTTATGACCAAAATGTTGCCTTAATTTTTAAGCAGATCAATCATATTTTTTTCAGTGCAGTGGAAAAAGACTACAAAAATTTAATATAACTTTACTGAGACACACCGCACAAATCTACTGCAAAATAAAATCACTGGTACTTTATTAAAGCACATCATATAAATAAACTACAAGCTTTAGTTTGATAAGATAATCATTAATTGAATTTAAATGAATTAAAAAAATATATTGTGAGACATCTATATGACATACAGATCTAAAGTCACTTGTACTGTACAGAGACCCATCAGACAAACACACTGCAACCTTAAGTTTGGTCAGATATGCCTTGGTTGATTTTTTTTTTCTAAAAATAAATGGCTATTGTGAGACATTGATATGATGCACTGATTTAAAATCAGTTGTAGTGTACAGGAACCCATCTGACAAACACATTGTATCCTTTAATTTTGGTAAGATATACCTTGGTATATTAATTAATTTTTATAGATTTTAAATTACTATTGTGGCACATTCATATGACATACAGATCTAAAATAACTTGAATCACATCAGGTTTTCGAAGTAATAAGTTACTACTGCAACACATTTATATGACATACGTATTGAAAAACACTTACCGAGACCCATGCCATAAACCCACTACAGACTTTAGTTTGTTAACACCTACATCTGTTGAATTTTAATTCAATTTTATTTGAAAAAAATTGATTTCACATCCATATGACATACAGATCTACTATATATTTTGGTAAAGTATGTCTTTATTGAATTATCAGAAAATATTTAATTAAAATTCAATCAAGCTAAAGCTTTTTGAGTGTGTTTCTGTACACTAATTCTTTTTGAAATCTGTATGTTTAATAGGTTTGTCAGTAACTTCAACATTGTAATTATTTTTTACCCAAAGGTTGTTGTAGGTTTGTGATATTTGTCTGTGCATCAAATGGATCACTGTGGCAGGATACATGTACTAAACAGCTTTATTAGGCGCAATCCAACACTCATAGTCATTATAGCCCAGGGTCAGTACATAGGTAAGCAGCGACAACAAAATACAAAAAAGGTCAAAACATAAGATATTACAGAACAAGAAGAAGGAACATGGCTAAATAAATGCACTAAGGAAACTGTCTTAGAAAGACTAAACACACAGGTATACAGTAATGTGCAAAAGCCATAGACACTTAGGCAAACGGTTTAAAATCATTTATCTTGTGTGTTTTTGCTTGTGGAAACAGCATATAACTAAAGAACACATACTTTAACACAGTAAAATGTAGCTAGAATTTATTATATTTGAAAATAGTGGTGTGAAAAAGTGTTTGCCCCCTTCCTGATTTATTACTCTTTTGCATGTTTGTCACACTTAAATGTTTCAGATCACTAAACAAATTTAAATATCACACAAAGATAACACAAGTAAACCCAAAATGCAGTTTATAAATGAAGGTCTTTATTATTAAGAGAACAGGAAATCCAAACCTACAGGGCCCTGTGTGAAAAAGTGAAGTAGACCAAAAGATCCTCAAAAGCTAGACATCATGCTGCGATCTAAAGAAATTCAGGAACAAATGAGAAACAAAGTAATTGAGGTCTATCAGTCTGGAAAAAGATATAAAGCCGTTTCTAAAGCTTTGGGACTCCAGTGAACCACAGTGAGAGCCATTAACCACAAATGGCGAAAACATGGAACAGTGGTGAACATTCCCAGGAGTGACTCATCCAAGAGGTCACAAAAGACCGCACAACAACATCCAAAGAACTGCAGGCCTCAGTTAAGGTCAGTGTTCATGACTCCACCATAAGAAAGAGACTGGGCAAAAATGGCCTGCATGACAGAGTTCCAAGATGAAAACCACTGCTGAGCAAAAAGAACATAAAGGCTCGTCTCAGTTTTGCCAGAAAACATCTTGATGATCCCCAAGACTTTTGGGAGAATACTCTGTGGACTGACAAGACAAAAGTTGAACTTTTTGGAAGGTGTATGTCCCATTACATCTGGCGTGGAAGTAACACAGCTTTTAAGAAAAGGAACATGATACAAACAGTAAAATATGGTGGTGGTAGTGTGATGGTCTGGGGCTGTTTTGCTGCTTCAGGACCTGGAAGATTTGCTGTGGTAAATGGAATCGTGAATTCTGCTGTCTACCAAAACATCCTGAAGGAGAATGTCAAGCCATCTGTTTGTGACCTCAAGCTGAAGCGCACTTGGGTTCTGCAGCAGGACAATGATCCAAAACACACCAGCAAGTCCACCTCTGAATGGCTTAAGAAAAACAAAATTAACACTTTGGAGTGGCCGAGTCAAAGTCCTGACCTGAATCTGATTGAGATGCTGTGGCATGACCTTAAAAAGACGGTTCGTGCTTGGAAACTCTCCAATGTGACTGAATTACAACAATTCTGCAAAGATGAGTGGCCAAAATTCCTCCACAGCGCTGTAAAAGACTCATTGCCAGTTATCGCAAACGCTTGATTGCAGTTGTTGCTGCTAAGG